GCCTGCCTCCTGCTCAATTCTTTGTTGCTTCTCACCCAGGCAGAGGTAGCCACTTTCTTTGTGTCTTTCCCAATAAATCTCTGTGTGAGGTTTGTTGTGTGGTGTGACTTTGTGGTATTGCTTGGCTCCTGACTCCCAGGATACCCTTCACCTCACAGCTGCAACACTTCCATTGGGGAAACTTTATCCTCAGAGCTGTAACACTTAAAAAATGCTCACAACCTGTAATCTCAAGTCTTGAGGCACAATTCAAGAAGACTGTCCATTCCAGAGCAGTCTGTGCTACCTAGCTAGGCCCAAACAAACAAAGCAAGCAAACAGAAATTACTGTCCAGTTCAAAGAAGTCCACATTGATTGTTCATGATACATTCTCGATGACCCATGGTCATTCAGAAGTTGGAGTATTTTGAGCATGTAGAAATTACCCACAGAAACAGAAGTACTTTATGAAGCCAATATTGTGACCAGGAGGCCTCACAGTTATCACCAAATTTCCCATAAATTTTCCCCTGATCAGAAAATTTTAAGCTCTAAAACAAACCGTAGTCATTTCTAGACCTGAACAGGAAAGACCTCCCAAGTTCTGTTCTGCAAATGCAAATTATTTGCCTGAAGAAGTTGCCCAATTTGCAAAACCACACCTGGTGGGTTTTTTGTTAAATAAGGAACCATTTGTCTGTCTGCTGTGACATTTCTCACCATGCTCAGCAGCTGAGGTAAAGAAGCTCAGGGAGGGGCTCACTCAGGAAAGTTGTTGGGTTTTTTTGTTGTTGTTGCTTTCAAATATGATTTGTTGCCAGGGTTACTAGTATCAAGGCCTGGCATTCCTAACCAGTCAGAAATTTGATCACTTATCTTCAATAAGCCAATTAAAAAAAACAGTGAAAAGAAGGGGCAAAGAGTTTTGCTTAGTCTCCACATAACAGAAGAACATCAAAGAGATCCAGTAACCCCACCACCCCCAAGCCCATCTTGGGATCCTGACAGGAGGTTTAGGTTTAAGTAAAGAACCAGAGGAATGGTTAACCAAATAGTTTCTGTCCAGGTGTGCCCCTGCATGTCCCTGACCCATGACTGTCTCAGCTTCAGCCTCTCCTGATCTGACAAGTTGTTCCAATTGTGTGATATTTTGGGGTTCCTACTATGGCTGGCACCAGGCTTCAGCTTTCTTCTTACAGTATGAGATTCCCAGGAAAATTCTAATTTCTTGGAGGTCATGGTGTCATAGCCAACAGGAGACACACAAACTCAAATATCCCTATTCCTACCAGGTCAGTTACAGACTTGCTCTGAGAATTTAAGGCAAGAATCACTCAGTACATCCCCAGCTTTAAAAGCATGAGGACTGCTGAGTTGGATCAGTGAGTAAGAGCCCTGGCTACTCTTCCAGGGGACCTGAGTTTTGTTTCCAGCACCCACACGGCTACTCACAAGCCTCTGTTACCCCAGTTCCACGGCATCTTTACTCTCCTCTTCTGGCATCAAGCATTCACAGACATATATGCAGGCAGAACACCTATACAAATAAAACAAGTGTGTTTTTCTTTTTAATCATAAATAAAAGCACAGAGGAGGAGATGGGTAAAGAGAACCATCTGCTTGCAGGCCATCTAAAATTCAGTGGGCAGGAGGAGATTAAACTCTCATCCAGATGCAGAAAATGAGTCATGAATCAAGAGATTACAAAAGTGTTCACCCCCCTCTCCCTGAAGCCCAAAAGTCACCCATTAAGCCTAGGTCCAGGAACACCAACGTTCCCCAGGGCAAATAAATCTCAAAACAAGTCAATTCTGCACACAGCACACATCTGAACACTCACTAAGTAGAAGCTCTGAGCTAAATGTTCTCTCCATAAGAGAGTTTAGGCTCACAAAGTGGAACGGCCTCTTCTCTCATCCAAGCCCCTTAGGGAGGAGAAATGAGGCTGGAAAGTCCAGTCTAGCCACATGGGAGGTTACCAATGTGCCATCAGGCCTGTCCTCTTCTCTACTGTCAGCAACTGCCCAGATACTTCTCATTTGCTTTTGTTTTTAACTACCCTGGTTGATTTAATCAGGAGTGCCATGCTTGAGAAGAAAACAATTCTCTATACCAGGTAACTCGTTTGCCAGGATAAGAGATGTAACTTTAGAAACCAAATTTTTTTTAGCGAAGAATTCTTTTTCCTGGGGTTTTGTATTATTTTTAGGTTCTTCTCTCTCTCTCTCTCTCTCTCTCTCTCTCTCTCTCTCTCTCTCTCTCAGCCTCTGAAACCACACTTCATTTTGAAATATCAGGTCCTGATAGAACTTGTCAATATAGCCAAAGCAAAGACCCTACTTCTGCAACATTATCACACTCTGGAAATGGGGAATCTCTGACAGAAGCCAGAGGTCAGAGACAAGGAAATGCAGTCTGTCATAAATTCCAACTGCAAGGGTTCTAACTTGAGTAGAATATATGTGTATGTGTGTGCGTGTGTGTGTGTGTGTGTGTGTGTGCTTTTATTTGTGCCCAACAGAGGTGCACATTGAATAAACAGAATACTATTAGTTTTTTCTTTCAGACCAGCTAGGAATCAATAACGACTGCCTACACAGGGCAGCACTTCCTTATGGTCTCTGGAGCTGCTTTATGATTCTGGTGAATGAGCTCAGTACCTCATCTTAGCAAAGTAGGAGTCAAATAAGGGCTCTGGAGCAGACTCCAGCCTTCTGGGGTCTGTGACTCTGGGAAAACTAAACTCATGTCCCTGTCTCCTCGACTATAACCATAGCATCCACCCTATGAGGTGCCTGAAAATCTAAAGACCCATTTTGCCCACTTAGTGGGTGCTCAGTAAATACTATTTTATATATATATAGCACCAATCTAGAAGTTCAGGTTGAGTATATTACAGGGCTTTAAAAAAATCTACAGTGGCTCCTGAATCTGGAGGCAGATGACCTATTCCTTTAGTAGTTGTTCATACACTAGTTACATACACAGCTAGTATATGCAACACTCCCACTACACAGCACCAGCCCGTCTATAATACATCCACTGTGTGCACTCGCTTTTCACATTGTCTTTCCACCCCCAAACCCACTGTGTTTTTTTTTCCTTTATGCATTACTAGGAATTGAACCTAAGATCTTGCATAAGGCAGACAAGCACCATGCCACTAAACTACCCCCCTAGCCTTTCTTCTCAACTGGGGACAGTATTGCTAAGTTGTTCATGCAGACCTTGAAGTCACTCTGTAACTCAGGTAGCCCTTGAATTTAGCATTCTTCTCACTCAGCACCCCCAATAAGCTGAGATTATAGGCCTGCAACCTGGGTACTCCCCAAACCTCTGAAATCCTTTTCCGAGTGATTTACTGCTTCTGCTTCCTTCCTAGAATGTAAACTGAGTAAGAACCATTCCAAGAGCCTGAACAGCGGCTGGCATACACAAAGGGAATATTTGCAGGGTGACTAAGTGGCATTTATATCTAATAAGCTTCTCCACAGCTTTAGCTAACCCATTCACTCATGAAGACTTGAGATTATAAAATTTAACTTTTTCTTTTGAGTGACATGTTTCTTGGACAGATCCTATTAATTGACTCTAATAATAAAATTTCACTGTATTTTTAATCTATGGCTATCATTTACAACGTGGTTATGATGGATAAGTTTCTACAAGAATAACATATGAGAAAATCAATTAAAATTTGTTTAAATTCACATTTACAGAGTAGGAGATTGGAAGGAAGATGGCGCAGGAGGGAAGTGGTGCCTGCTAACAAGCCTGCCAACTTGAGAAAGCTGACTCCCACAAACCTGTCTTCTGACCTCCACATATGCACACAGACAGTCACATACACACTAAATCAGGATAGTAAAAGAATTTTGCTCAAAGTCACAGGGCACTATTTCACCCTGTCCTGACTAATCTCTGTTTTTCCTAAATAGTATCATACTAGCTTTACCAACTCCAGAGTCATCAGTTCAAGCATAAAACTTGTGTGCCAAGCAATTATGAGCAGGATATATCCATTATACCAAAATACGGTTCACTCCAAATTTTCAGGCTCTAACTTCTGTGGGTTCCAAATTGTAAGTGCCTGGAAACAAGTTTTATTGAGACTAGGGAAACCCTTGTAGTGTGCTCATATTGCTAGACCGGAAGGTAGGCTGTAGGCGTTTCTGCCCCACCCCCAACCCTGCTTAAGGTTTACTTTCATTTATAGGCATGTGTGTGTACTGGTGCCAAACGGCATCAGATTCCCTGGAGCTGGAGTTACAGGCAATTGTAGGTGCTGGGAACCAAAGTCTGGTCCTCTAAGAGTAGTACGTTAAGGCATCTGTCCAGCCTCTGTAGGTGCCCTTTATTCTACACCTCTAACTCTACATCTTAGTTTACACCTCTGAGACATTCCAAATGTCGGGGTGAGAAGACTCAGGAGGAATCCAGCACCAATCCTGTCAAGCTGAGGGGTGGTAACAGGTACGTTGACCTCATTAATTTCCTTCCTCTCAAAGCCCACAGGTAAGCTTCAAAGCCTAAGGTTTAGACCAGAGCTAGATGTTAAGGACTCAGGCACTAGAGGCTCTCCTGTCTTTCTGGACCTCACAAACCCAACCCACGTGTATGGTATTCCTTGGAGATTTTAATTCTCCATCGAGCCAGAGATGTCCAAGAGGTCCAGGTTCTCTCAATCGGAGGCAGCTAATTCCAAGAAGCTTTCGCCAGTGGGCTTTCGAAGGAAAACCGCGTTTATCTCCTAGTCTTAAGGGCAGGACCACTGAAGGGTCCACCCTGGTCCCTAACTGCCGGACCACACCCAAGGCCATCGCGCGGCTCCTGCCCGACTCCGGGTCCCGCCCCCGCGTGTCAAGCTACCGGCCGAGCAGCCAGATCGCAAGCTTCTCCAGAGCGTCAATGACTCAACCCTAAAAGAAACGTGGGGATTCCGAGCCCCGCCCCCCGCCCCGCCCCCGGCGCACTCGCGCGCGCGGTCCACGCCCACGCCCGGCCAGCAGTTGCCCTTCTGGCTGAAGTCCGGTGCGCGTCAGCGTAGGTCCCCTGGGACGGGTCGGAAGACTTCGGCTACGTCCTCTCCCTGGGCTGCCGGCTTCCGCAACCGCCGAGAAGCGACCCCGCGCGGCGGCGACCGACAGATTCAAGTGTTCCCAGCGGGAAACCGCTCCGGCTCTGCCAGCTGGGCCGGGCGGAGCTGCGCGGACCGCAGGGTGGCTCTGCCAGTCCCAGAGTGCCGGGTCGGCCGCACACGTGTCTTAGCGTCACGTCCGCGCGCGCCCCCGGGGCTTGCGTCAGCTGCCGCTCCTGAAGCGGGTGGGCCAGGGCTCTGCGCACCAGAACGCCGCCGGAGGAGGGCACCGCACGGCCGCGAGCCCCGAGAGCGCCGACCACTCCGGGCGCCTCCGAGAGGATCGGCGCGGTCCGGTCCCCGCCCTCCCGGTGCCGGTCGGGTCCGCGCCGGGTCCCTGGGCTGGGCGCCGTGGCGTTGCCCCGGAGCCCGCCACCCGCGGGGCGCGCACCGCCTTAACCTGGGCGGCCCCGCGGCAGGCAGACGCCCGCAGGTCCATGGTGGGCTCGGAGCGCGATGAGCCGCCCGTCCTCCACCGGCCCCAGCGCTAACAAACCCTGCAGCAAGCAGCCGCCGCCGCCTCAGACCCCGCACGCCCCGTCCCCGGCTGCGCCCCCGGCTGCCGCCACCATCTCGGCTACGGGCCCCGGCTCGTCCGCGGTGCCCGCCGCGGCAGCGGTGATCTCAGGCCCCGGCGCCGGCGGCGGGGCCGGCCCGGTGTCCCCGCAGCACCACGAGCTGACCTCGCTCTTCGAGTGCCCGGTCTGCTTTGACTATGTCCTGCCCCCCATTCTGCAGTGCCAGGCCGGGCACCTGGTGTGTAACCAATGCCGCCAGAAGTTGAGCTGCTGCCCGACGTGCAGGGGCGCCCTAACGCCCAGCATCAGGAACCTGGCTATGGAGAAGGTCGCCTCGGCAGTTCTGTTTCCCTGTAAGGTAAGTCCAGCCACCATCCGCAAATCTGCCAAGGAACCTTTCCAGAGTTCCGGTGCCCTCCAGTGCACTTGAAGGCCCTGAGAGGCGAATGGCATATTACTGTTTCCATCTCTCTATCTTTCTGTCTGTCGGGGGGGGGGCGGCGCCGGGGCTGTGTCTGTGTGTGCGTGTGCGTATGTGTGTGTGTGTGTGTGTGTGTACACCTTGTCCATTGTATCCGGGCCCACCTGTCCATTTTGGGAACTAGCAACTAGGGTTGATTTTTACCAGAGCACTAACTGTAGATGAGTTGGCACTTGCTGACGGTTTAGAAGCATCCCAGCTCTCCCAAACAAGTGCGGCCGCGTCCCCTGCAGGGTGTGCTCAGTAAAGCTAGACAGCTTAACTAAAACGTGGACAGGGAAGCTGGCCATGGAGATTGTGGAGGAAGGAAACGGACGGTTTCCAGCACTAAGCTTGGCAGGAATAGTCCTGGGTTCCTCCTGGACCCAGTGCCCAAGATCTGGGAGCTCTTGAGAGTGTACTTACAAAGGGGAAGCGGATACTGCCTGCTACACTCGTACGGAGAAAACCCTGAAAGCCACGCCTTCTTCTCTCAGCTTCCCAGGCTTGGGGAGGACCCCGAAGTTGTGGCTGCTGTTTTTTGTTTTGTTTTTTGTTTGTTTGTTTTGTTTTTTATTAAGGGCGGCGAACTCGAGTCCAATAGGACTCAATGCCGACACTCAACAGCGTTCTTAGTGCCAGCATTTTATTTAAAGAGTTACCTGTGCTCCTGGGGGGTGGGGAGGAGAAGCAAACCACAAGCCAAAGTCCAAGCTCTCATTTGCTTGTCTCCACCGGTTTGTTTAGGGCCTATATTTACGTCCTCACAGCTAAAGTCATAGAATCATTAATGTCTATCTCTGAAGGCTTTTTTAAAAGTACCCACAGAGAGATAATATTTTTTCTCTGACAACCAGCTTTACAAATTAATATCCTCACCTGTTTCATGTCTGAAACTTGACTTTATCTCCTGTATTTTAAATGACTGATAGGATTACATTGTGTGGCTATACTTTAACATCCTGTTGCCAACACTGAAACCCTTACCAAAATCCTCACAGTCTCATTTCTATGCCTCTTTCTAATCTAGACCTCTGCCAAGGAATTCATTTTCTGAATTTGTAGGTGGGAATCATGTTACTATTTCTGAGATTTTTTTTTATGAAAGTAATTGTTCTATCTGAGACTGTTTTAAGTTGTCTTGCATATCTCCTCAGTGGTGATTAGTTTTTAGGGCAAGAGCTGTTTTAAATTAAAAATAGCTCACTGGAGATTTTCATTTTAACCTCCAGAGTCAAGTCAGTAAAATGAGTGAGTTACTTTGGTCTTCTGCCCAGCTACAAAGCCAGTTAAAATAGCTTATTCAAATAAGGGTTTAAATGAGGGTTTAGGCTATAGGGTCACCTTATTAAATTGCTTGCCTTTAGCCCCTCCCCCGGTACTGCTTACTGATTCACTCAGCTCAGGTGCTGCATCTGTGAAACTTGGATAAAATATTTTCACACCTCCCTTTTATTGAAAATAGATTCCCCCCCTCCTATAATACAACCTAATTACAGTTTCCCCTCTCTCTGCTCCTCCCAGTTCCTCCCCACCTCCCCTTCCATCCTGACCCCACTCCCTTTCTGTCTCTCATTTAAAAAGGACAAGCTTCTAAGGGATGGTAACAATAAGATAAAGACCAGGAGAAGGCACAAGAATCAGAGACCCACTGGTTCTCACTTTCTGGAAGCTATAATGTATATCCAGAGGACCCTTTGCAGAGGTCCTACAGGCCCTGTGCATGCCGCGTGTGACAGTGTCTGCCCTCCATCACTGTGGGTCACTCAGGATGAACTCTTTCTAGTTCTGTTTACCTGCAAACTGCATTCATCTTAATGACTGAGTAATACTCCATTGTATAAATGTTCCACGTGTTCTCTATCCATTCTTCTTTAGAGAGACATCTAGGAATTATGAATAGAGGAACAATGAACATGTCTGAACAAGTGGTAAGGGGAAGCACCCTTTGGATATGTGCCCCAGAGTGGTAGAGATGAGTCTTGAGGTCCCATCTTCCTGAGGAACCACCACACTGATTTCCATAGCGGCTGTATAAATGTGCACTCCTCCCAGCAGTGGATGGGTGTTTCTCTTACTCCATATCCTCACCAGCATGAGCTATCTCTTGTGTTATTGAACTCGGCCATTTTGACAGGCAGAAAATAGAACCTCAAAGTCATTTTGATTTATATTTCTCAGATGGCTACGGATGTCAAACATTTCTTCAGATGTTTCTCTGCCATTTAAGTTTCCCCGTGGAGAATTCTCTGTTTAGATCTGTATTCCACTTTTTAAAATTGGATTATTTGGTTTGTTGATACCTAGTTATTGAGTTCGTGTATATTTTGGGTATTAGCCCTCTGTCAGGTGTGGAGTTGGTGAAAATCTTTTCCTGCTCTGTAGGCTGCTGTTTTGTCTGAATGACAGTGTCCTTTGCTTTGCAGAAGCCTTTCAGTTTCATGAGTTGATCTTAGTGCCCATGCTAATGGTGTTCTGTTCAGAAATTCTTTTCCTGTGTCAATGAGTTGATGGCTATTCCCTACTTTCTCTTCTCTCAGATTCAGTATATGTGGTTTCATGTTGAGGTCTTTGATACAGCTAGAGTTTTGTGTGGGGCGACAAGTATTGATCTATTTGGAGTCTTTTACACACAGAAGATATCAAGTTGGACAAGCACCATTTGTTGAAGATGCTGTCTCTTTTTCCAATGTGAACTTCTGGTTTCTTTATTGAAAATTAAATGTCCATAGGTGTGTGTGTTTACATCTGAGTTTTCAGTTTCATCCATTGATGAATCTCTGGTTTTGTGCCAATGCTGGTCTGTTTTTATTAGATAGCTCTGTAGCACAACTTGAACTTGGGAATTATGAGACCTCCAGCAGTTCTTTTATTGTTTTAGCTATCTTGGGTTTATTTGTATTTCAATACGAAGCTGAGAATTTTCCTTTTAAGATCTGTGAAGAATTGGAATTTTGATGGGGATTGCATTAAATCTGTAGATTGCTTTGGTAAGATGGCCGTTTTTCCTATGTTCTACCAATCCATGAGCATGGGAGATCTTTCCATCTTCTGGTACCTTCTTCAGTTTCTTTCTTTAGTGCCTTAAAGTTTTTATCAGACAACTCTTTCATTTGCTTGGTTAGAGTTACCCCAAGATATTTCACATTATTTGATGCTATTATGAAAGATATTCTTTCTCTGATCTCTTTCCCAGTCTGTCATTCATATGTAGATTTCTGTGAGTTAATTTTGTATCTGGCTACTTTGCTGAAACTGTTTATTAGCTGTAGGAGTCTCCTGGTGAAAGTTTTGGGGTTACTTAACATATACTCCCATATTGTCTGCAAATAAAGAGTACATGTAGAGTACTTTTCTCAGTCCAGATTTTAAGAGCACAGTTGGGCCCAGCTTAGGGTTACTTTTGTGTGTGCATATTTATGGTGTTTATAAAACTGGAGTGTGTATCCTTTACATTTGATTAAGCAGCAATCCAAACTGTTTAAGCAGGGTAGCTCAGCCATTTGGTGTGGAAAAGCCAAATTTGGATGTGTACCTAACTGCAGCAAGCAAAACTCTTCATTGGAGATGAGAAACATTAAGGAATAAAGTCTGTGTCAGATTGAAAACAAGGCAGGTCTGTGTACGTAGCTCAGGTGAACCAGCTCAGCTTAGAGCTGCTATCTTTGTAGGAGCCAGAGCACCTCAGCCTCTCTAGAACAGTGATTCTCAACCTGGGGTCAAACCAGCATCACCTAAGACCACTGGGAAACACCGGTATTTACATTATGATTCATAGCAGTAGCTAAATTACAGTTATAAAATAACAACTAAATAAATTTATGGTAGGGGGTCACCACAACATGAGTGAAGGATTAAAAAGGGTCATTTAAGGGTCACAGCTTTAAAAAGGTTGAGAAAAACAAGAGGCTTCCCCAGCCCCTGAGGCTATATGTGTCAGTTACCTTTCTTCTTTGCACTAGTCCTGGGAGTATTTAGATAGTTTGTCTCAACTGTATTACTTGGGGCCACTCCTTTAAAGTGTCAGCTAGGTTGTCTGACTTTTTAACAAAGCAACATTGTTACAATCTGACCTCAGAAAAGAAAGCTGAGGCTTTCAAGTTCAGTGACGATATGCAGTCATATTTCAGGAACTTTCAAAGAAGATAAATAAAAATGGAAAACATGTTATAGAATGATATAAGAAGACTAGAGAGGTTTAGTATTTCCTACAGTATGTTGGAGCAGCATAGTCAGACACCTTATCACAAAAACAAACCGAAGGGCAACCTTTTACTCATGCGTAAGAGCTGGAAATGTGGAGACAGCCATGCCAGGCATTCATAGGTGGAAAAAGGAGAAAAACTAGAAATTGGACTTTGACGTCAAATCTTAACCCCTGATCCCTCCCTAATTTGCTCACCTTTGACCAAATTCAAACATAAAGCCAGCACTAATAGGCCAAACTATCCATATCTACATGCCAAATTCCTACAGCTTTTTAGGGACAGCCTTTGGGTGGTTCTGTTTTAGGCAGTGTTTACTGAGCTAGATTCTCTGCATACTCAATTTGGAAGTCTGACAACTATAGAAAAAATCATCTTGTGTATTGTATGGATGTATCACATGTCAATTAAAAAGCATATGGCCTATGGCTTAAGCAGAAAATAGAAGGCAGGCCTTCGGGGCAGAAGGATAATTCTGGAATAGAGCAAGGTGGAAGATCTAGGTACCTGAGAAGTGAAGGGATGAACACATGGTGTCTGAGCACAGGTAACCAGCCATGTGGCAGTGTAGGTTAAAATAATTGTGTTGTGTAAGTTATAATCTAGTCAGACTACAGAGTCTAGCTATATGGCCAAGGTATTTGTAAATATATTTTGAATCTGAGTCTTATTTCTGGAAGCATGGGGCTAGTA